TTTGTCATTGTTGAAGTTAACAGTTCAGCCTATTAGTGCTGCAGAGTCTCAAAAACAAATTGATGATGACTCAAAAGTGTGTATGTATGTGACTGGGCAGAATCTGTGTTGCTACAGGACTTCTTTGCAATTAGCTTGCAGAACTTGATTCTCCTCAAACTGTTGTGATTGCTCTGTACATCCTATAAATTATTTACACCCTGATGGTACTAAACGGCTACTTTATGGCACCTCTGGCTCCACATGATATCAAGAACTTTAATAATTCATCTTTTATTACAGCTGCATCCCTGTAGATTAGCATGAGTGGGAGCTGAATTTACAACACTCTTAAGGCCTTCTCTGAGACCTTTACTCTTTAAACATCATATCCATAAATATTCAGGAATTAGTGCTATTAAAAATAAAGGAAAGATTATTGACTGTTAAAGAGCTAAACTCTTTAGGTTAAGTTTATCAAGCATTAGATTACTTTAATTTTTAAGTGCATTTTAAGGATATTTCAAGGAGAAAGTCTTTGAAAGACAGTTCTCCATTTCAGGACTCAACTTAAAAAAAAAAACAACCAGATAAACTAGCATTAGTTTATGTGAATTAAACAGAATTAATGACTGGCCACTGACAAGAGTAGTGAGAGACTTTTATTTTGAGAACTATTGAAATTCTGAATTAAGGGTTTTACATTCGATTTTAGAGGTCATTGAATTTTTCTTCGTCAGCCTTTTTGTGTACTTTAAAAAAAGAAATAGAAAAGGCATGCTTATGGAGATCCAGAGTGTCTGTGTATTCCCATATACCCAAGTCATGTTAATAGTTGAGTTGATGTTGAATTTATGTTCACAGTTTTGAAGTGACTCTACCTCTGAGCACTACAAATGTTACTTTCAAAAAAGACAGAAAGATTACTAAAGTTGGCAGTGGTTGTACCCTAGCACTAGCACAGTGCCTGGCACATGGTTCAGAAAACGTTTATAGCACTAATACCTGGTGATCAGATCAATCCATGTAGTTCGAGTTATATATCTGGTATTTTGATATAATAGCTATACTGATTTATACTAGTTGCTTTCTACAATAGTACTACTTTGGGAGTGTATTTCAGTTCACTGTTAGTGTTTTTTAGTCCATTCAGTGTGGATTTGTTGCAGAAAGGTACAGAGAGCCTCATTATATGGGGTTCTGACCTATGAGGCGTGTATTCTTAAGACAGTATTAGTCTGTAGAGAGGCTCCAAAGTATTTCAGTTGTCCTTTGGGTTCCATTGAAAAGCCTAGAGGTTCTTCAAAGATACAGAAAAAATTACTCTTTCCCCTTGTAGAGACACTGGACAGTTTTCACTGATACTAAATACATAGTGGTTTATACCATGTATAAGTTGAGTTTAATTTGATTGATTTAGTTTTCTTTAATAATGACTTTCTTTAAAACTGACTGGTCATCATTGACATCCATGAGAAAACTATACATTTCTCCATACAGTCAAAAGTTACAGTACCAAGGAAAGTAGGGTTTGGAAGGGCATTAGAAGCACTGATTAAAATGAAAGCCCTTAATCTGTGAAAGGAAAAAAAAAATCTAGAAAGCATGAGATACAGAATTAAATCCTGCTATGGTAGCCTACTGCGCAGATGACATTAGCTCTCTATTTGCCAGACCAGCCAGCCACCTTGGAGCAGAATATCTAACTTAAAATAGAACAGCTGAATTTTTCCTTCAGTTGAAACAGCACAGTAAATAAACATCTTTTCACTTGTATGAAGTTCTGTTTGTTGTTCAGCAGCAAGTGTGAATTGGATGAAAAAGTATCTGCATATAAAGTTCTTAAGTGGAGTGAATTGCTGTTTTTCTCTATTAATAGTTCCTGACACACTCCTCCACTCATGAGTGTCCTTGAGCTTATACCTAGTGCCAGGTATTGTAGAATAAAGGTTTAGAACTGTTGTTTGACCTAGACTCAATTATATTATGGTGTAAATCAAGCTTTTAAATGGAAGTGGCTAGGCTTTACAGATGGGCAGACATGAATCTAGCTGAGAGCAAATTGTTCTCCTGTAATAGAGACATCGGTCAAAGCTGCATGCATCTGTCAACTGGCTGTGGTGGCACAGTGAGATAAAGTGATCTGTAATGTTCCTCTAGTGTGCCCCTATTGCTAGCCATATTGTAATGTATAATACATCTCTTGGGCAGACAGCTTGTGTGGGCTGGAATCTACCTCAGCCCTGAAAAGATGCCAGAAAGCATCAAGGTGAATTTTTTAAGCCTATTTAAATATTTAGACTCTTGAGTGATTTCAGTGAAATCTCTGCTGTATCTGATAAACCACCTGCTAGAAGTGAGATGGAATTTCCAGTTTATGGCTCCCTTGCTTATTTAGCTTTGTGACCTTGGATTGACAGTGATTAATCTCTGCCTGTTTCTGTGTCAGGAAAGTGAGGATTGTAAAAAGTATTTGCTTCATAAGGTTGGTTTAGGCAATTAATATGTATAAAGTGCATAGAGGAGTGCCTGGCGCTTAATACACATTAGCTGCAGGCACCACCATCATCATCCTCATTGAGAACACAAATTGGAGTGAGAGGAATTTCCCTTCCCTGAAGCTACTTTGCTTTTTTGGGGGGAGGGGGGTTAAACATTTTTTTATTGAGTTACAGTCATTTTACAATGTTGTGTCAAATTCCAGTGTAGAGCACAATTTTTCAGTTATACATGAACATACATATATTCATTGTCACATTTTTTTCACTGTGAGCTACCACAAGATCTTGTACACACTTCCCTGTGCTATACAGTATAATCTTGTTTATCTATTCTGCATATGCCTGTCAGCATCTACAAATTTTGAAATCCCAGTCTGTCCCTTCCCACCCTCCACCCCCTTGGCAACCACAAGTTTG